CACTGGAATATTTCGAATATTTTGAAATGTGTGCATTTTAATTCATATAAACACTATTTTAAGCGTCAGGAAACGGGATTTTTCTTATCATGAATTGCGAGTATAACAACTTGGGAAGCTAGCTTGACATTTCGTTAGTACGGTCCTCATACTGTCTTTGCCTTGTTTCTCCTGAATCTCATTAGTTTCAAAAGAAACAGATAAATCGGTCATACAATGCTTTCATTGGATTTATCAAAAAGGACCATATCAGGTTTGTTCGCTTGGATACGTCTGACTCTGTATGTGGGCGTATTCCAAAGAATTGTATTTGTAATTATCATTTCCCACGACGCCCTCTGCATATTCTGGGTCGTACCATTGATGGTCTCGGAGTCAAAACCACACATTACGGTAACAAGAGGGTCGAACCATGCCAAAGATACTGTGTTTGTGTCAAGCTGGACATCAACTTTGACACAAAATCACACATTGACGTTTTCGAGTGGCAAGTGACTGGTTCTGGGTCGATTTGATATGGCACCTCGCTTTATTGACACTCATTTCTGTACCGTCCAGCACCATCAACAAAATAAACATTAACATTGATATTCAGTACTGCATCAATGGGTCGTTTAGGAAAATTAATTGAATGACTTGTTTTCAGTCTTAACATGCTTCACAAGAGGATAAATAAATATGTGCAATAGTGCACGATTAAATTCAATCATGAAAGGCCTCCTTGTTAATCAGACCATAGACGTTAAAATATGGTGATGATCTTCATCATAAACAACTATCATCATCATTATCATTATAATGTTTATGTTCCCGTCACAGTACATCGTATTTAAAGAAAACAAGGTATAAATATAAACACATTTGATGATACATCCGTGAGTTTGAAGTTGATTTTTACAGCCCGGGCAAAGGCGGACCCAACACAAGCCAAACACTTTTGATAGAGACTATGTTGAGAATGTAGAGGGAAAAGGGCTTCACTTTGAGCACCAAGTTTTCTTTAAATACAGCGAACGGAGACTCTTTAAAGTTGTATATAGGTAGATATTAAACTCGTTTATAGATGTGAATACATTTGAATATTCATCTGTGAGGTTTAAGTTGATTTTGACAGCCCGGGCCAAGTCGGACCCAACACTTCTGACAGAGATTCTCTTAAGAAAATACAGTAAAAGTGTTTGACTTTAACGGACCAGTTTTCTTTATATACGATGTACTGAGACACTATAAAGTGGTATATACGTAGATATTAAACCCGTTTATAGATGTGAATACATTTGAATATACATCTGTGAGGTTTAAGTTGATTTTGACAGCCCGGGCCAAGTCGGCCCCAACACAAGCCAAACACTTTTGATAGAGGCTATGTTGAGAATGTAGAGGGAAAAGGGCTTCACTTTGAGCCCCTTGTTTTCTTTAAGTACAGCCATCTGAGACACTATAAAGTGGTATTTAGGTGGATATAATACTAATCTATAGATGTGAATCCATTTGATGATACATCTGTGAGGTTTAAGTTGTTTTTGACAGCCCGGGCCAAGTCGGACCGAACACTTCTAACAGGGATTTTCTTAAGAAAATACAGTAAAAATGCTTCACTTTGAGCCCCTTGTTTTCTTTAAATGCGATATACTGTGACATTATAAAGTGGTGTATAGGTAGATATAACACTAGTCTATAGATGTTAATACATTTGAAGATACATATGTGTGTTTAAAGTAGATTTTGACCGTCCGGGCCAAGTCGGACCCAACACAAGCCAAACACTTCTGATAGAGACTATGTTGAGAATGTAGAGGGAAAAGGGCTTCACTTTGAGCACCTTGTTTTCTATAAATACTGCGATCTGTGACATTATAAAGTGGTGTATAGGTAGATGTAACACTAGTCTATAGATGTAAATACATTTGAAGATACATATGTGTGTTTAAAGTAGATTTTGACCGTCCGGGCCAAGTCGGACCCAACACAAGCCAAACACTTCTGATAGAGACTATGTTGAGAATGTAGAGGGAAAAGGGCTTCACTTTGAGCACCTTGTTTTCTATAAATACTGCGATCTGTGACATTATAAAGTGGTGTATAGGTAGATATAACACTAATCTATAGATGTCAACACATTTGATGATACATATGTGTGTTTAAAGTAGATTTTGACCGCCCGGGCCAAGTCCGTCCAAACACTTCTGATAGAGACTATGTTGAGAATGTAGAGGGAAAAGGGCTTCACTTTGAGCCCCTTGTTTTCTTTTAATACGATGTACCGTGACATGATAAAGTGGGATATAGGTAGATTTAATATTAATCTATAGATGTAAACACATTTGAAGATAGATTTTTGTGTTTATAGAAGATTTTGACAGTCCGGACCAAGTCGGACCTAACACAAGCCAAACACTTCTGATAGAGACTATGTCTAGGATGTAGAGGGAAAAGGGCTTCACTTTGAGCACCTTGTTTTCTTTAAAGACGATGTACTGATACATTATAAAGTGGTATATAGGTAGATATAACACTGATCTATAGATGTAAACACATTTGATTAAACTTCTATGTGTTTAAAGTTGATTTTGACCGTCCGGGCCAAGTCGGACCGAACACAAGCCGAACACTTTTGATAGAGACTATGTTGAGAATGTAGAGGGAAAAGGGCTTCACTTTGAGCACCTTGTTTTCTTTAAATACAGCGAACTGAAACACTATAAAGTTGTATATAGGTAGATATAATGCTAGTCTATAGATTTAAAGACATTTGATGATACATTTGTGTGTTTAAAGTGCATTTTGACAGCCCGGGCCAAGTCGGACCCAACACAAGCCAAACACTTCTGATAGAGACTATGTTGAGAATGTAGAGTGAAAAAGGCTTCACTTTCAGCTCTGTGTTTTCTTTAACTACTGAAATATGAGACAATAAAGTGGTATATAATTAGATATTATACTAATCTTTAGATATAAAGAATGTTAGGAACTTTAGAAGTGCTTGGACAGTTATTACCACGTGTCGTGTCAGTCCTTTGACATTCGCGAATATCCACTTCCAGAAAACATCCTGTGTTGGTTTAACACGAATTAGTAAAGGTTAATTAGGGATGCCCAACACGTTAATTAATGAAAGAAGAGTAGTCAAAACACTGTCGTTTCCTGCCCAGGACATCACACCCCTACACGCCAAGGTCGGTGAGAAGCATTCTAATCAAAGAATACACACAGTCAAGACACTGACTTTTCTACGAGGCTCACGGTATGTAGTCATAATCATCAGTTTATTACATTGTTGAAGGTGCATTCTTATTCAAACTCAATTAAATGAGCAAAACTATACGTTTGTGGACATTTGAGATCTGCCTAGATATGCGCGTTTCGTTTTATTATTCTGCAATCCATTTTTAGTATTACCCGCTGGCCCGGCACGGCCAGACTTTTCTTGGCCCGACTTTTAGGCAATCCCCACTTAATGCAACAACAACGCTTCAACCTCGTCCAATTAAGCTGTGGCCGGAAAGTTGAGTTTGTCTTGTCCCAGAAAGGTGCCCCACAAGTTCTCCTAGACGGCTACACGTATGCTAAGAACAGGACGAAGAAAGATATCGCTACAATGATATTGCATCACAATGCTTTTCAGACCATTGCGACGTCATCGGTTACCATGCCGTCAGAATCAAATGGCACCACTTCCATGGCACTGAAACGTGTTAGTTTTACTTTTTACACTCACGTTATTGTTTTTTACCGTTACTGACAAAAAATTGAAAGAATGAATTTGGATTATAAATAAAATCATCGTCAACATACTCGTCGAAAAAACTCATCGGCAAACTTTCAACAACTTGTGTTGATATTTTGCTGTAAAACGAACCTCGGGTGAAATTCTATATACATCAGAGAGTTGTACATATTGATTCTATAACTCTGCTTTAGTGATACTGTTGACATTTGAAAATGAAACCCAATCTAACTTGGTCTTTATGAATTATTCATATTACTTCATCAACAATTGCCTGAATTTAACAGTATCAGCATTTGTTCATGATATGTTATTTTTTGTAATATACGATACCCCGTGCAAAATTAATAAAAATCCCTCAACCCAAATTGTAACCGCAGAACGATATTTTGAGAATCAGAAAAAAGATATTATGCGTGCGGGTCCACAACTGATGCCAAATCCTCTAATCAAACAGACTTGACTATTTCATTGCGGATATAATTTCCAGCTCACATAGCCTAGACAGGTCCATTCGGCAAGTAGGTGTTGCCACAGTTAACCTTATAAATAAACATTATTGACATACAGTAATGTCGGACAAGTTCAGTTTATGCACAGATGGATATTTCCCTCATATTCTCACCATCCTCCGTCGATTACCTGTACCCTTTCTCCCAGTGCTGATAGTCATATCTTTCCCAGCATATGTGCGTTGCCAAGCTACATTTATGGGAACAACTTACGAGACACCCCCCTCTAAAAAATTGTGAGCGCATATTGGAATTTCCAGAAATGACGTACCACAGTTATTCTTCATTTTTCTTTGCAATTTATCGCGTAGCTATTATAGCAATATAGTTTCCCTCGTACATTATGCGACCGCCTCCGTGGTCTTGTGGAAGAGCGTCCGCCCGGAGAGCGGAAGGTCCGGGGTTCGATCCCCGGCCGCGTCATATAAAAAGACGTTAAAAGATTGTACTTGTTGTTGCCCTGTCTGGCGCTCGGCATTAAGGGGCTGAAACAAGGACTGGTCGGCTCGGAGTCCGTATACTGTGTCTGAGTGGGGTATTCATGTTTAACTGCGGCATGGTATCTCAGTGGGCTAGCACTATAAATCGGCATCAGTCCGGACTAGTACAAGCAGCTACACACACACATACACGTGGACACGACGTTAATCCCACTTTCACCACACCTCACATTGTTCATTATGCATTGAATTCAATCAATACACGACCCTCGCTAAATTGTACCATTACCACGTCACGTGCCGTTCTCCTTTCTGCGCATGGCAAACACCTGAAGCTATCCGGGATTGATATTGAGGCCAAGGCTTATAGTTGTGGTGGTCCACTGCTGCGATCGGATATTGTTGGACGTACACGAATGTCCTATACACTCAAAGAATTGCCTCAAGTTATACTGCAGATGGTATGTACTTTTCTGTTGACAATGTACTCTATCGTTGATAAGTAGTAGTGAGTCTGTCACTTTATGCATTGGTATTTTACAAGAGGATCATTATTAGCTATTTGCTTTTCGAAATTAGACATTAAATTACTTTCGGCGATAACAATAATCAGTTTAAAATAGTTAACCACACGTACAAGTACATTACTGACTACTCATTTGCCTTTATCATGTGTGGTGATGTTTATGATGTCGTATAACAACCGTTATATGATGGTACATAGGTATGACTTTCGTCGATTACAATAATCAGTTTAAAATAGTTAACCACACGTACAAGTACATTACTGACTACTTATTTGCCTTTATCATGTGTGGTGATGTTTATGATGTCGTATAACAACCGTTATATGATGGGACATAGGTATGACTTAGAAAGGATCACCTTTATGTAATTATTTAGAGTACAGGTGTGGTATTCTGCTGTGTTAAGTCAATACACCCGTGCCAGGTATTCGCCTCCACACGCGTTCTGAATCACACCAACCTGGTCCTATTCACTATACATGCAATCGACGTCCAAGTGGTCGAGAGAGGTGGGCGATGGCTCATTTTTTGTTTAGTTGAGCACGATAATAGCTCTCAGAATATGCGATATTGAAGGGTGTCTAAAACCCGGCACCCTACTTTGTCTCATAACGCGTTATGATCTATAGTCACAATATTGGTCTGATAGCCACACGTCTAACATCTGTGCACAATGGACTTGATCAGTTTGTATTCAACAAGAATGTTCTCACTGTCTATAGTCTGTGTTCACCTGTAGTATATGGTCAATGGCTTTGATTCTAATAGTGTCGTTTTCACCTTGTAAATACAGCTCTCATCGCGGGTGTCAGGCCCATTTCATCAATTCAAATAAAAGTAACTGAAACAGACTATAGCCGCAGTTTATAGAAAAGTCTCAACACGCAAGGTTGATTTGACATACACTGGGCCTGCAGTGAGCTGGCTGAGAATATGACCCGTCTTGCCTGACCTGCCCTCTTTGTGTGAACTGGTTATACATTTCTGTTGGGCGTTTAAGTACAGTTATTGTGTTATTCTAAACGTCTTTCACTTGCTTTGTGTTCTCTGTTGCCTTGGTAACTAAAGGTCAGTCACTCAAAGGTCAGAAGCTATCAGCCGAGTCATATGAAGGTCGGGGCCAGCAATTATAAAAGGGAGGAGTCCAAAGTATTAAAATCCCACCTCATGTACCCCTACTGCCTACAACATACAGTCAAGTCCCGTTAATCCGACATGGTTGGTTGCATATGACAAAAAGACTGATGCAAGTGCAAAATCGTTTAAGTGGATAGCAACAGGAAAACAAAATACTTATTGATGTCGGACTGTCAGAAGTATTCATAAACTCGTCTATTTGCTCTACCTCATGGCTGGTTTCAAAGGTGGAGAGAACTCTTAACGACCAATCATTCTCAACAGTGGCGAGAATGTATCTTATCAAGTCTCTTTCAACACCGTAGGCCGGTTATCCGGCCAAGAAGCATTGAGTCCCCAGACACCGCAGGCCGGTTATCCGGCCAAGCCGTAGTCACGTCAAAATAATATATATTTTTATGGACCTACCTGTAATATCATTCATTTATTAAATCTATCACATTTCACAATGTCTGAAATACATATTCCATTTCAATTTAACATTTTTTATCGTTAAATTAAAAAATTATTCACTATTTCCCGCGATGTTATTGAAAATCAAATTCTCGGACACACATTTCGACAACGGGTCCACATCGAACACGTCAAAGAGGAAAATAAAGACGTTTTAAACAAATCTTTAAATATATTATACAATGTAAGGAATAAAATCAACAAAAATATATCTAAAAGTAATCAAACTTACATCTAAGTTATTATTTCCATCTTTTCGTGCGATCGCGTGTAATGTAAGTCAAATGACATCTCGGCTTTCGTCGCCTTGAATTCTCGGCTCGGACACGATGTTTAATGCAAAAATATATGCATGAAAAATCTTTGTCACAGCTCGTAATCTAGCACGATACATTCACGAAGTTCCATATTTTTAATATATATCGGGATTTCCTGCTCAAAACGTTCAGAATAACACGATTTAACAAAATTCTTTCGCCAACTTCTGTAATTTATCGAACACGAGCTTGGTATCACAGCTGTAATTTGATTGGCTGCCTTAGGTCACGTGCTCAAAATTGACCAATCACGAAACTTGTAGCAGATTTCAGCAAGAAAGCGTCATTAGAAACCAATTTTAATCCAATGAAATCGCTTGTTATAACAACGAAAAAAACTCAGTCGATGTTACGAGCGTGTAGATGAAGGAATAAGCTTTCCAGCGATGTGTCATATGCCATTCTTCGACGAACGTGTTATTCATACGAAACCTCGAAAACGGGGGTATTTCTTCATTTTACTGAGCGGACAGTCGCTGTTATTGGGAAATGGGTGATGACAGAAACTATTTATAATTCTTTTTAAAATGATTTTCCAATTACGTAAACAATGAAAATAAAACAGAAATAGGTACGTGGATATTATGAAATCATATATTTGCCGAAAATCGTCAAGTTTTCGCTTCCTTGGTCCTTAATCTGGATGTTAACAACGTGTTAGTGTACATTTTTTATTTACAATGAATTTAATTAAGTTGTAAATGCATTATTTTAAATAATGTGAAAAATATAACTTTCATATTTATAAACCATAGGATCAGACCTTTCAAATGGTGTATAACATGTAGTAGCAAATATATTTAACAAGCAGGTATTTTCTTTGATAAATGTTGGCTTCATCTATCACACAAGAGTCTCTGGGAACTCGGTGTCCCAGAAGTAAACACTTCTGGTTGACTGGTGTTGAAAGAGTTAAAAAGGTTTATACTACCAACATTTAAAAGAATTACCAAAATTCGAAAAATTTCATTACTTCCCAAGACTGTCTACTTGCCAATTTTACAATTTCGAACATCCAGTCATCATTTGCCCATTGTAACCTGCCGATGGCGAGGGTTACTGAGAGAAGACCGTGTTTTGCACACTATGCAATTCAACTGCTGCTGGAGACGAGTTTTACTATCTTTTTAGTGTAAAATACTAAATGAGATACGCGTGTGTATTCGCAAGTTAAGCCTTGCGCTTGGGCAGGGTCGTATCAAAACTGGTCAACAGCAGAAATAAATACATAAATATAAAATAATATAATAAAACATTAACATGCACAGGTGGATGGGCGTGGTTGGCGTCTTGCGACGGTATGTCGCTGACAATTCCTGATCTGTCATGGTGCATCTACAATACACCACTTCTTCCCATTTTGCAGATTCTATAGAACTTTAATGAACTTTATTTTTCTCCCTAAGGCTAAACCACTTCCCCGCGGCAAAAGAGAAATGTATTGAACATGTGATATTATATTGACAAAAACATAGCAATAATTTCTTAGATATTATTTTCGAGCATATAACTGATATAAACTTAGATACAGATTTCATATTGGATGTACAAAATAGGCGTTGGGAAGAGACCATACACAGTATACCAACAATAGTATATTTTATTAGATAAGCACAAATGTGTATCTTCTATACTTGAAACCAGCTTTACTAAAAACATATCTGCTACGTCGGGACGTGGTGTGAAATCTCCAAAGTTATGCACACAACTTCAGGAAATTTTATGCAAAGGATAACACTCGCGATCGCTTTCGAGGTTTGGTTTGAAAATGTGAAAACCGTATAAATACAATAAACATCATAAAGAATAAATAGACCAATGGGATACCTTATAGTGAAAGAATAACAGAGTCTGCCTGAAACGAATTCGATGACAGTGTGCGAGAAAAAGGCCACGTGCAACATGCAGACAACTATGGAATACTGTAAGGGACATTCTCGCATTGTGAAGTCAGTCAAAAATAAGATTGAACACATTTTTATCACCTTCCCGGTGGCTCAGTGGGGAAATAGTGGGTTAGATTACTAAAAGTTAACTCGAGTTATGTAAAGTGTAACAAGTCAAATGTAAAACCTCTGCAGTTGTCACGCGAATGTGTTACCTCTCACGACGTTACTATGGGATTTCCATGTGGCAGTAGACTTATTCATTATTTAGTCAAGCGGGTCAGGTTTTGAACACGCAGCTAACCCCTGTAAGCGCAGGTTACATTTTTCACAAAATCCCTCTTATGAACACACGGAACACACCAAGACTTAATATTGCTTCTGTTAACAATATTAAGTTTATCATGACCCGTGAAGATCAGGGTAGAATAGGTCTTTAGCAACCCATGCTTGTCGTAAGAGGCGACTAACGGGATCTGGTGGTCAGGATCGCTCATTTGGTTGATGCATGTCATCGATCCAAATGGCGTAGCACGAGGCTCATGGTGTTAATCACTGGATTGTCTGGTCCAGACTCGGTAATTTACAGACGGCCGTCATAAAGCTGGAATATTGCTGAGTGCGTCGTTAAACAAAAAAACCAAAACAGTTTATCATCATGTATTTGTAAAATGTATTTTGTATGTTGCCTTCATGAATATAACGTGCGCTGGAGAGGTATTGTCGTAAGTGTGGTTTCCCGTTCCGTGTAGTCATGGTCAGTTATATTAAGCTGGCTGCAACTCGCCTGGTCATCGGATGTTCTCTGACCGTTACTTCTAGTTGTCCTATTGATATAAACATATTTATTTCCATAAAGTGGAGGGATTGGCAAACAAGCAAATTTTGCTTATCTGAATGCCTTTCCCAAACATGATACATATACAAACTATAATATATTGAAAGTTACATGAGAAATAGCATACATTGTATAATTGACATTAAAGATAAGTATTGTTCTTTAAATGTTTAATTACTGGATTATCTTTCGTAACTACGGTTACGTTATTATTTACATCCAGCACAACATCGCAGTATCATATGGCAAAGCCAATATCTCAGACAAAATCTCTAGATAGTTGTCCTCTTCATGTACGATCAC